CCCCCCCGAACCACCCCTTTCATGGACTCCTTCGGCTTCCAACATTTTTGGGACACCCTGTATAGATACTAGGTTTCAAATGGATTTAGGAGAAAGTCGAAGTATCGGTAGACGATAGAGATTTTTCTTTCCCGTTTCCGAATAATAAATTAGTTACGAAAAGAAGGGACCCCTACGCAAGCTTCGGATACATCCGTCCCTGGACGCATACGTTAATTCAGTGTTCGGTGTTAATAAATGCGTTTAATGTTAGTCTTATTAATTAGCGACAGCCTGTGTTTCTAGAAATAGTACATGTTAACAATTCAATTACGATGTGTAAACATTCAGAACGTTTCAATCACCCCCTTATGAAACATCGTTTCAGGTATTGCATAATTCGTAAGCTTTCGCTTACTCATAGCCACTATTCAGGAATAAACTCGGCTGCACGAGATGACATTCCTTCTTCTTCTTCTTCTTTTTTTTTTTTGTTTTTGTTTTTGTTTTATCTCCTGTCTCGCACGGACTTTCTATTCTATTCTTCGTTTTTCATCATCAACGATTCTTTCCCAAAATTCCGTCGCTCCTTTTATTCGAGATTTTATTCGTAACAAATCTATTTCCATTTATATGTCCGTTCGTTATTATTTCGATTTGTTGATAAAAGTCGGTTCAGCCAGCATTAAGAAGTTCCCGACAAAATCTATTTATAGATTTTTTGGATTCGATTACCGCATAGAACACGCGAGATCTTCCTGAAGTGTATTCGACCTAAATTCTGCATGTCCAAGGAAGAAAGTATAAAAACGTTACGTTGACGAAAAGGTTACGAAGATTACGATAATTTCTACGGAATTATCGGTCTTTCCCGATCGATATGCGGCGAATATTCTAGAATCTAGAATATTCTCCGTTCTCGATACGAATTAAAATTGAATAGTCGAATCGCAACGTACATTGTAAATCATGTACGTCTTGTGTAAATGTGTGCTCACGCACGTTTCTAACCGCCATTACTCGCGATAGAATATAGCTAGCCATCGGGTGCTAACCTGTTGTCATCCATTGTAGATAACCTGAACGTAGCTGGGTAGAAATTTCTTTATGGATTTCAACGTAGCTACAATGTCTTCCGCAGCCATGTTGTACGTCACGTACGAAATCAATTCTTCCCCCAAAATGGCTCGTTACTCGTTAATATTCGCTCGATTTACGTTTTCTTCTTCTCGATACGCAAGATTTCAGCGGAAAAATAAAACGCGAACGAACTCGCTTACGACATCGAGGTTATTGACTCGGGTTTGTTTGGTTATAGATATCTAGACGGAATATAGGTCGGGTTTTTTTTATTTATCTTATTATTAATTCATCGATATTGAAAAGATGATACGTATAATTTATTGCTCGTAGAGTAAACGAGATCCAATGATGCCGTACGTATTCTCTTCGTCGATGGTAAAGACTTGCTTCGTAAAAAATTACAATTACGTTAATCGATTCGATCGGAAATAGCAGGTATCTATTTATTGGTTGTAGTTCCAGTATAAGAACAATTAAAGATAGATCCAGAAAAAAAAGTAAAAAGAAATATATACATATATAAAGCGTTACTCGAAAAGAACGAATAAAATTACAGTAATTATCTGTAAGCTCGTTAAATGTATTATCTGTTAATGAAAGCATGTCTGGTCAGTTTCTTTATGGTTCTTGGAAAGCCATTAACGGTGTGTTAACCAATTGTGTAAGAGTTCGCTAAAAAAAATCGTAAATAAGGTTAACAATGCTTGTGAATCATTTGCACGTTTAACTTTCTACGATATCGCTAGTGAGATTAGATGAACGAATAAGTTTCAACTTTGTGTTCTCGCAATCAACTGTTTGCGTTAGTTGAAAAGGAGACGTTTGGAAAGAAAAGACCGTACTAAAAATACTTTACCGTAGAACGTACGAAATGTAAATCATGAAAGTATTAAAAATATGCTGCAAGTGGTTTTTGTTTATTTAAGATTGGATCGAGTTCGTCGAAAGTTCGCGTGGGGAACTCGAGACGCATGTTAGACATAAATAAACATCGTGTTTTGTAAAATCTAATTTGGAGCCATTATCGGCAATATTTTTGTTGTTGCAAGCAAAAGGTTATATGTATAATTTTAATTTTAATTTAATGGACATAATTGTTATCGTTTATAAACTGTTGATTGTTTTTCTATATATTCGTTCAAATATCGCGGTAGTTTGTTATTCCATCATTGTCGCAAATAACTTTTTTATTACAGAAATGTAATAGAAGAATAGAATTTAATTTTTCCCAACACAATTTTTCATTAAACAATCAACAAGATCGTTATAACACACTTCACGCTTACTATATCGATAAAAATGCTAGCGATTGGTTTTCCCTCCAAAACATCTAGCGTCTCGAGTTCCCAAACAAAGGAGCCTACTGATATTGATTTTCTCTTACGTGGCATGGTGGTAACAAAGAATTATATGTGATATCCTTGTTGCAACGTAAAAAAAAAAACATTTATACTATTACCATAAAACTATCGCGACTAGGACATATTTACTTTTGCAATAAAATATATAAACGTTTATATTTCATTTTTGTCCAAATATTATAATACATATGTCGTTGCAAACGATAAACAACAAAAAATTTTTTTTATGGACATCCAACATCCTATAGCATCCAAAAGCTATAGAATATAAATAAATCAAATAATTCCAAATAATAATTTATAAGGAATTGTTTATTCTTATTTTATCTTTATCTATACTGTACTTTTAAACTTACGTATATTTACAATACTTTACATAAAATGTTTTATCGAACAGGTGTCCATTTCTTCATCGCACTGCTGGAGATACAGAAAGACGTTACCATCTACGTTATTACAAAACTTGCATGTGCGTCCATGATACGGACACACGTGGATTTTGCGTTAAGAATGGACCTCATTGTGCCTTTGCACATGGCAATCATGATCTTCGACCACCTGTCTATGATATCAAAGAGATACAGGCGCTTGAAAACCCTGATTCTGATCCCAACTCATCGTCCAATGGACCAAACATACTCGATAAGGAACGAAACTTAATGAATGAAGATCCAAAGTGGCAGGATACA